TGAAATTCTACAAACATCCCTTTAAGATCCGGAATAAGGTAAAAGGTCCAGTGTTACAGTTACCCCTGTTAATTAACACTAACAGTTATTAACCACATAAGCCAGTGAAACTACAAAAGATAAGAGATTAGGAAAACTGGCAGGAGCCATGGTTCACACCTGTAATCCCAGCACTTTGGGAGTTCAGGAGCTCACAGCACTTGAGCTCAGGAGTTTGAGACCAGCCTGGGCAACGTGGTAAGACCTCATCTCTGCAAAAAAATACAAAATGAGCTGGGCGTGTTATATGCACCTGTGGTCCCAGCTACTTGGGAGTCTGAGGTGAGAGGACTGCTTGAGCCTGGGAGGCAGAGGCTGCAAGGAGCTGAGATGGTGTAACTGTCCTCCAGCTTGGGCAACAGGGCAAGACTCTGTTTCAAAAAAAAAAAAAGATTAGGGATACCAAAATGAAAATATTAGTGTTTGGAGAGAAAACTGAATGGATAAACTGATTCTATATGGGGAAAATAAGAGAATTCTCTAAGGTAGCTGAAAAAGCTGGCATTTTATACACTGAAGTCATAATTGTTGTCTTTTAGAAGTTAGAGATAATAAGAATTTGAATTTAGAGTCAAAAGTTTCAGGCTCCATCAAATACTAATATCCTAATCAAAGAATTACTCGGCTGAGCCTGGTGGCTCATGCCTGTAATCCCAGCACTTTGGGAGGCTAAGGTGGGTGGATCATGAGGTCAGGAGATCAAGATCATCCTGGCTAACATGCTGAAACACCATCTCTACTGAAAATACAAAAAATTAGCTGAGGGTGGTGGCGGGTGCCTGTGGTCCCAGCTACTCAGGAGGCTGAGGCAGGAGAATGGTGTGAACCCAGGAGGTGGAGCTTGCCATGAGCCTAGATCATGCCACTGCACTCCAGCCTGGGTGACAGAGTGAGAGACTCCATCTCAAAAAAAAAAAAAATTACTTAACTTTAGGATGCTCTAATAATCAAAATCGATAGTGGCTTGTGAACGGATAGATCACTTGAGTAGAATAGAGCCTAGAAATAAACCCAAATGCTTCTACGGGAGGTTGGTATATTATAAACATGACATTTTAAATCAATGAGGAGAAGAAATCATTTGCAGCTCACCCCACCATAGGCAGCAGGAATAGGAAATCACTGGCAGAATAAAAAGACAGTAAGAGCAGAATTGTAGAACAGTACATTTCTTGCTTCCCCACTTTTCAAAGTATTTTTTGCTTTTACACAAGTATAAGTGTAATATTATTTTCTAAGTGTATACTCATTCTTTTGTCTCTTTCTTAGATGAATGAAAAAAATTATATCTTTAGAAAAAGAGTTGTTAGAATAAAGCCTCGGCAGCGTCAGGGGGCAGTGACAGCACAGAAGAGGCCAGAGAACAGCCTCCTGGAGGAGACCCTGCGCCGTGACCACGCTGTCTGGATGGGTACGGGGCCCTCTTCTGCAGAGTGTTCAATTCTGTGCTTTTTCTATAGTTCCCTTTCATAGAAACATTTGGGGTGATGTTTCTTTTCCCTCAACTTTTTAGTTTAAAAACTTGCAAACACAGAAATGTTGATAAAATAATACAGTGAACATCTGTATGCTATTCAACTGGATTCACTAGTTAACGTTTTGTCATATTTGTTTTCTCTCTTCCGTGTATGAAAGATTGTATATGTGCCCTTTTTCCCCCTGAATCATTTCAAAGTAAATTGCCAGTATCAGAGCATTTCACTGTTAGGTACTTTTGCAGCTATCTTCTAAGAACCAGGACATCCTCCTATATAATCACAATACCATTGATCTTCCCAAAAAATTTAACATCAATACACTAATGATACATGACATGTAGATTATAATCAGCTTTCTTGCAGTAATCTGTTCAGAAGGCTTGCATCCTGTCACCATCCACTGATTAAATTTTGAACTCTAATTTGAAACCCTTGTCATCTCACTGCCTTCTTTCTTATACCCATTAAGTTAAAATGAGCTCTCATCTTATTTCAGTGGAAAAGAGAATGGAAAAGAGGGGAAGAGTCCCTAGGTACCTGGGATAAAGTATGAGCACTTACTACCCTACGTATTCTAGTTCTGTAGTTTTCAAACTCCAGGGAGCATCTCAAGGCTTATTAAAGCACAGATAGCTGTCCCTCTTGCCCACTTTCTGATTCAGGAGGTGTGGGGCTGGCCCAGGAATCTGCATGTCTAACAAGTCCCACGTGTTGCTGATGGTGAGGGTCTCAGGACTACAATGCAAGAATTAGTGGTTTAGTGGATATCTACCTAGTGAATACATGCTGTATTTCCTTTAGCACCTGTGATTACAGAGGAAACACCTTTCAACTGGAAGATATCATTAAACAGGATAAGAGATCAGGTCAGTAAGAATTAAATGTAACTTAATTGAAATGTCACTGAAATTTTTAGAAATAATATGTCAGGCCTGGCACAGTGGCTCATGTCTGTAATCCTAGCACTTTGGGAGGCCAAGGCAGACATATCCCTTGAGGTAAGGAGTTTGAGACCAGCCTGTCCAACATGGTAAAACTCTCTCTTTACTAAAAATACAAAAATTAGCTGGGCATGGTGGTGCATGCCTGTAGTCCCAGCTACTCAGGAGGCTGAGCCAGGGGAATCGCTTGAACTCGGAAGATGGAAGTTGCAGTGAGCTGAGATGCGCCACTGCACTCCAGCCTGGGCAACAGAGCGAGACTCCATCTCAACATAAATAAATAAATTAATTAATTAATTAAAAAAATAAAGGGAGGATGGGGCAGCTTTGCATACTGCATGGCCTGAAAATGGGCTGATTTCCCTCAAGAGGCAGGGATTTAAGCTCTCTAGCCTACATGGGATATATACAGGAGAAAAAAGAAGAAAAAGAAAAGAAATGTAAATATAATCCCCCTGATTATAAAGGAAATCACATTCTTTTTGTAAAAATTTGGATGACAAAATATAAAGAATATATCTTCAATTTTGCCACTCAACACATTCTGGTTTGTTGCTTTTTACACTTTTTATGCCTAGAAGCATTTTAAAAAGGAGAATTGTAATATATGGTCTTTTGTCACTGACTATTTTTTAAGCATGTTTCTATGGGAGAAATACATCCTGGCATCATCATTTTTAATAGCTGGATGTATGTTAAGTGAATCGTTGCCACCCCAGAGTGAATTTCCTTCCATATACATTTTAATGGACTCGAGTAAGGATTTTTGCACCAAATTCATAGAAGTAGAATTTCTAGAGGAAAATAATATAAAACAGTTTTAGGAATTTTAAAAGAAATGTTCAAATGATCTTGTAGGATTATTGGTTCAGTTTATACTCCCACCAACAGGGACAGAGCTCCAGGTTCCCCCTTCCATTTGTCATCTTTGCTGGTCTTTAAGCAGAACATCTCATTGTTTTCATTACATTTCTTTGATTTCTAGTGCTTTTGAATCTTTTTCATATGCTCATTGGCCATTTTTTTTTTCTTATGGGAAGTGCCGGTTTCTCCATTGCCCATTTTCTGCTGGAAATCATTCATTTTTTTTTCTGAGTAATTTTAAAGATTTCTTTATAGGCTAAGGATACAAGCCTTTTATCTGTCATTGAAGTTACAAAGACTTTCTCCCAGTAAGTAATTTGTCATTTCACTTTATTTATTTATTTTTGCTAGCAAAGCACCAAAGTCAAATTTCATTTTTGATCCTGCTGAATGAAAACATTTTAACTTAGTGATTTTAGTGGAAACAGGAGCAGGACAGAATGTAATATCTAGATCTCACTCTGTCACCCCGACTAGAGTGCAGTGGCATGATCATAGCTACTGCAGCCTCAAACTCCTGGGCTCAAGCAATTTTCCCACCTCAGCCTCCCAAGTAGCTCTAGGTGTGTGTCGCCATGCCCAGCTAATTTTTAAATTTTTTGTAGAGATGTGAATTCGCTATGCTGCCCAGGCTGGTTTTGAACTCCTGACTTACTGCACCTTGGCTTGCCAATATGCTGGGAGTACAGGCGTGAACTACTGCTCCCGGCCAAGAGCTTACTTTTGTTTGCTAGGAGTGTTTTTGGTATTTTTTTTTTTTTTTTTTTTTTTTTTTTTTTTTTTTGTATTTGAGGCTTTCATGCTAGTGCTGAAGTATTACACTCACCATCTGAGGTTTACAGGACTTTTGTTTTAATATTGAACAGAGGGAACTGTTTAGTTTTGCATCTTTGCAGGTATACAAAATGTGCCTACCAGGACTCTGCTTTGTATCCATTGAAAAGCAAGAAGTAATACATTGAAACTTTGCCTGCCTAGAGGCTTTGGAAGAATGGAGTTTTCTGGTTGAATTCTATTAACTTGGAAGGATGAAGGTGAAAACAATTCAAAACTTTAATTTCCTGTTGAATGCAATGTGAAAATATAGCCAGTGATTCCACTTTTCTTCTCTAGTAAGTTTGGACATTCAGATCTACTTGGTCTTTTATCATAGAACTCCTAGTGTGCCTGAGTCTTACATTGTGAAGATCCTTTTCTAAAACTTTGGATGTAAGAGGATATAAATGATATTGGATGAGATCAGGCTGGATGAGAACTGATACCTGTAAATATACTTTGTAGACTAAATCTCTGATTGCCACCTGCTTTCTTATTAACTCATAAAAATAAAACACATTGGCTGAAGGGTGGAAGTAGGAAGGAGATGTATGTCTTTTAATTGCACGTCATTGTTTCATATCGAGACAGAACTTATAGTATCCCTGGCTTTGGACCTACAGAAGGAAACGCATTTTTCTACCTGCTGTATTCCAGCGGTTCCTGAACACCTGGAGGGCTTATTGTAGCACGGATTGCTGGGCCCTACTCCAGAGTTTCTGAGAATTTACATGTATAAGACATTCCCAGGTGCTCCTAGTCCAGAGACTATATTTTTGAGAACCACTCTTATATACTAACTATAAATTGTAGAACTTTAGAGAAAAGCTTACTTTGGTCTGGGATAAGAAGCACACAGGTAATGGAGCAAATCATGAAAAAGTCAACCCTTGATCCCAGGTAGCAAGCACTACACAGTGACAGAACACAACTCTTGGTTTTCATGATTGCAAGTCATAGCCAAGTATCAAGTGAGAAATTCAGTTTCATTTTCAGGGCTTAGAGAGGCCAGGTGATTCTAGAAAAATAGGATTTAGTGATTAACCTCATGAGAGTAGGAGTTATTTATGTCCTTTTTCTCTCCCCCATCACTTAACATTTAGCCTTATTTTAGAACGATCCTGTATTTGTTTTAAACTTGTAAAGAATGTTGAGTGCTTATTAAAGAAAGCTTTCCGTGTGTGTGTGTGTGCATATGTATGTATGTAGGTATGTATTTAGAGACAGAGTTTCGTTGTGTAGCCCAGGCTGAAGTGCAGTGGCATGATTTTGGCTCACTGCAACCTCCGCCTCCCAGGTTCAAAGGATTCTCTTGTCTCAGCCTCCCAAGTAGCTAGGATTACAGGCACCTGCCACCGTGCCCAGCTAGTTTTGTATTTTTAATAGAGACAGGGTTTCATCATGTTGGCCAAGCTGGTCTTGAACTCCTGAACTTAGGTTATCCACCCACCTCAGCATCCCAAAGTGCTGGGATTACAGGCGTGAGCCGCCACACCCGTCTCAAAAGCTTTGTGTTTTTAAGGATGTTAGACAGGTTTCTTGTTTTTTTTTTAAACAAACCTTAACAATAATATAGGCAAATAAGAGAAAGTTTTTCCAAAAAAGAGAAATGATTGTGATTATTTTATCTCATTGGAATGTTGGATAATATAGTCTACTTTATCAATCATCAAGCACACTATAAAATTTCTATTTTAATAGGATTTGTATCTCAATTGATGTAATACAATTTTTAAAGTGAAAGCCAGCCCCGCGCCTGTCCTGGAGTGGACCGGAACAGCAGTTGCATGGGCAGCTTTCCATGTGACACTACAGGTCCTTCATGACACACTGCTGTGCCATGTCTGCCCCCCCACCCCCCACCTCCCAGTAAGAGCTCTGTCTTCCTCTTTCTATAGGAAAAGAAGGCAAGCCACCAACATCAGGATGCCCTAAGGAGGGAGCTAGAGGTAAGTGGAGGGTGTGAAGTTCCCTCCTGTCCTCTGGAGAAGGTTTCTTTGCTTCTCTTTCAGCACTTGCTTGTCTTTTCTCCCAAAGGCTCAGGTTCCTACCATACGAATCCTTACATGTGAGAAAACTGAGCTTCAGACGGCACTCTATTACAGCCAGCGTGCTGTCCAGCAGTTGCAAGGTGGGAATCTGGTACCCCATCATCCTTCAACCTGGCACTTTGACAGGCCTTTATGGGGAGTCCTTTGGGCCGCATCTGAATGTCTCTCATTCCAGGAGAGTGCAGGCATCTGGTCGGCCGCCTGCATGATTCATGGAATTTTGCAAGAGATTTAGAGTGGGATCTCTCTGCTGTCGCTACACAGAAGAAGAAGGCTGACAGGGTGAGTCCAACCCCCTGCCCCATCCCCTGGGAGCCTGGCTTCACAGATGGAGGAGTGAGCCTAAAAGTCCCTTCTGCAGGATGGAGTGTCCTGCCCAGAAGACAGCATGGCCATTTCTTGCTGCTTTTGTGTGTGGTGGTTAGAGGCTGAGAGGGGCTGAGTCGGCTGCTGTGGGTGAGTTGGGGGGCGCTGTGGGGAGTGAGCACTGGACATAGAGCTCGCAAGCCAAGTGCCCGCCCTGCCCATACTTGACTGTGGCCTTGGCCAAGTCCCAAGTGGCGGTTAGGATACTTGTACCATAAAGGTACAGAAGAGTAGCTTGAGTATGTTATTATTTGTGTTGAGAGAGAGAGCACGTATATGTGTGTGTGTGTATTATGGTAATATACATAAAACATATTTGTAAGGATCATGAAAAACTCAGGAGAGAGGAACAGTGTTGGGGGGAGATATTTCCCTTCTGTACTTTCTGAGTTTTGGACAATGCGAATGTATCATCCTTTCAAAAAGTCAATAAAAGATTAATGTCCTCCTTCTTACCTGTGCTGCTACCCCCAGTGAAAGAACAGAGAATCAGATATACCTGGGTGTTGAAATCTCAGCTCTACGTGATCTTAGGCAAGCACTTAACCCTTAATACCCCATGTTTTTCATCTACACGATAGAGGTAACAATGGTAACTGTCTCCTATGGAGGTTGTGAGGATGAAATGGGATTGTTAGCGCAGTGCCTGGTGAAGCAGTCAGTAAAGGTTCCAACAGTGGTAGTAATAACAGTAACAACCATAGCAATATTATCTGATCTCTCTGGGCCCCCGTTTGCCAGCTATAAATTCAGTCTCTTTCCCTGTCCCTTCCACCTTTACTGAGTTCTTTGAAAAACAAATGAGGGCCGGGTGCTCTGGCTCACGTCTGTAATGCCACCGCTTTGGGAGGCCGAGGCGGGCAGATCATCTGTGGTTGGGAGTTCAAGACTAGACTGACCGACATGGAGAAACCCTGTCTCTACTAAAAATACAAAATTAGCCGGGTGTGGTGGCACATACCTGTAATCCCAGCTACTCAGGAGGCTAAAGCAGGAGAATCACTTGAACCCGGGAGGCAGAAGTTGTGGTGAGAAGAGATTGCGCATTGCACTCCAGCCAGGGTAACAAGAGCCAAACTCTGCCTCAAAAAACGAACAAAAACAAAAAGAAAAAGAAAGAAACAAAACAAAGAAAGAAAAACAAATGACACCCTGGGCTTGGAAGTGCCTTGAGAGCATGTCAGGTGTGACTGGGAGTGGGGAGTGGTGTGTGGACTGGTCACTGTGGCTGTTGTTCCTGGTCGGCCAGCCGCTCCTCTACCTGCTCTGTCCTGACTTCACCTTTCTCTATTTGCAGTACATCGAGGAGTTAACAAAGGAGAGGGACGCCCTGAGTCTGGAACTGTACAGGAACACGTAGGATGGGGGACGGTGGGATGGGAGGTCTGGGGGCTCTTAGTGTGGGGGGTGTGCTGGGAGGTGGGGGTACAGGTGACCATGGTGAGAGGCTCATACAGGTTTTCATGTGTGCACAGGGAAGCTCTAGTGCCGGCTGTGCCACTGACCCATGGGGTAGCCTCAGGCAACTCATGTCTTCTCTCTGGCCTGCCACCTGGGACTTTTAATTCCTGGGGTCCCATCCAATGCCACGGTTCTGTGGTTGTGGGGTGAAAGCAGAGGGTTGATCACCACAGCGGTCCTTTCTGTTCTTCGTTCATTCCTTTATCTACTGCCTCTGGTCATAGCATAACCCATGAGGAGCTGAAGGAGAAAAATGCCGAACTACAAGAAAAACTTCGACTTCTAGAATCTGAAAACTCTGAGATCCAGCTCAATGTAAAGGAGCTAGAAAGGAAGCTGGAGAGGGCCAAGCTCCTGCTGCCACAGGCAAGTGGCTGCAGCCCCGGAGTTTGCAGGATTCCCATCTGGCTGGGACCATGGTCTAGGGATCAAGCGGGATATGGGGAGGCTCCAGCCAAGAGCTAGAAAATTTGGGCCCTTGTTCTGGTCCCACCATAGAATCCTCTAGAGTGTGCTAAAAATCTGCAAATTGGGGCCCTGCCTGGGGAATCGCAATCTCAGAGTAGGGATTAACAAAATATTTTTTAAAGGATCATAGATGAAAACCATTGTTTGATAGATTACATTTATATGACTATCCCATGAGTCTGTTTCCTTCTGAGGTTCAAACCAACACTTTCACTGTTCCAGCAGCAGCTGCAGGAGGAGGCTGACCACCTGGGTAAGGAGCTGCAGAGTGTGTCCGCGAAGCTCCAAGCCCAGGTGGAAGAGAACCAGTTGTGGAACCGCCTGTACCAGCAACTTGAGGAGAAGATGTGGAGGCAGGAGGAGAAGATACGGGAGCAGGAGGAGAAGATACGGGAGCAGGAGGAGAAGATGCGGAGGCAGGAGGAGAAGATATGGGAGCAGGAGGAGAAGATGCGGAGGCAGGAGGAGATGATGCGGGAGAAGAGGGAGATGATGCGGGAGCAGGAGGAGATGATGCGGGAGAAGAGGGAGATGATGCGGGAGCAGGAGGAGATGATGTGGGAGAAGGAGGAGATGATGCGGGAGCAGGAGGAGAAGATGCGGGAGGAGGAGGAGAAGATGTGGAGGCAGGAGGAGAAGATGTGCGAGCAGGAGGAGAAGATGTGGAGGCAGGAGGAGATGCACGAGGAGAAGGAGAAGATGAGGAGGCAGGAGGAGATGATGTGGGAGAAGGAGGAAAAGTTACGGGAGCAGGAGGAGAAGATTCGAGAGAAAGAGGGGAAGATGCGGGAGCAGGAGGTGAGGCTGTGGCAGCAGGAGGAGAAGATGCAGGAGCAGGAGGTGAGGCTGCAGGAGCTGGAGGAGAGGCTGGTGGAGCGGGGGGGGGAAGGCGAGCTCTGGGGGGAGCAGGTGGAGGCGGGTGCAAACCCTGGAGATCATACAGAACGACCTCACCACAACTTAGCAGATGGTGGTTGGCTCCCTCTGCTTTTCCACCAGTCTGTGGCCTACAGTGTAAATGGTGGGAAGAAGGGTGTGAGATTTGAGGCTGGGGAGGGAGGCATGGGCCTCTAGGCAAGGGAGGCAGTGACTTAGGCCTGGAGGAAGGGGGAAGGGGCCAGGGGCCAGGGGCCTGGGCAGGTGACAGAGCCCCTCAGTGCCCTCACTACCCCGTTTATGGGCCCAGAATCTGGAAGCCAGCCACTGCCTACCCTGACACCTATCCTGCAGGTGGAGCTGACACTCAGAGGAAGAGGAGAGAGCCCCAGGAAGAGGGGGGGACTGTTAACAGTGTAGAATTGAGGAGTTGCAGGAGACTTTTAGAACAACTGGTCATTATGCCGACCGGGTATCCGCACTAAGTTCGGCATAGATATGGCGACCTCCTGGGAGTGGGGGAACACCAGGGTTGCCTATGAATGGGGGAACTGGCCCAGGGCAGAAATGGAGCATGTCAGAACTCCCGTGTTGATTGGTAGTGGGACAGCACCTGGGCAACGTAGGGAGATGTTGGCTCTTCAAAAAAATAAAAGTAAAGAACAGCTGCTGATTTCCCTCTGGGGAGGGGCTGGCCAGGGTTGCACAGTGAGGGTGGGGGCAGAGGTGGGTCAATTGTTACCTCCCTTGTTGGGTTGTCTGAGGAGCCCTCTGGCCACTCCCCACAGGAGATGCACTGGACAGGGAGGAGGTGGAGGAGGAGGAGGCACCTCAGCCCATGCCAAGCATCCCAGAGGAGCTGGAGAGCCGGGAGGCCATGGTGAGCCTGACTCTGCCTACCCCAGCTTTGCCGTCTCCCTTGGCGGCCCCTCCCAGACCCCCTTAGCTCTTGGTTTCCCGCCTTCTGATTTCTCCGGACCCTCTAAGTCACGCAGCATCTCTGCGGGGGTGGGTGTGAGGGGGGTGTGGGCACGGGTGTGGCAACTGAGCACCTTTCCCTCCAGGTGGAGCTGGTGTTTCCGCTTGTGAGCGACCGTAACCAGGGACGTGGTGGATTGCGGGCAGCTGCCCAGAACCCTGCGGAAGAGTCTGCACCAGGGACCCCGGTCCCTCAGGAGCTCGGGGCTGCCAACAAGCAGGGTGGTGAGTAGAGCCCCTGGGCGAGGGGGGCAGGCAGGAGCAGGGGAGGGCTCGCACGGTGCTCAGTTTCCTGCCTTTCTCCCTCCAAAGATCTCTACAGCAAGCCCTGCCTGCCATTCTTCTACCGCGCACATGACAAGAAGGCAAAAATAATAAACATCTAAAAGCCGGCAGCGAGGCCTGGAGAAGAGTCAGCTGTCATGTGACTGTTTAGAATATAGTCAGAACACAAACCTGGAAAAAAAAAAAAAAGAAAAGAAAATTTATTTATTTTAAATAGTGGCAAAATACTGGCCAGGCACGGTGGCTCACACCTGTAATCCCAGCAATTTGGGAGGCTGAGATGAATGGACCACCTGAGGTCAGGAGTTCAAGACCAGCCTGGCCAATACAAAAATTAGCCGGGCATGGTGGTGCATGCCTGTAATTCCAGCTACTTGGGAGGCTGAGGCAGGAGAATCGCTTGAACCCGGGAGGCAGAGGTTGCAGTGAGCCGAGATCGTGCCACTGCACTCAAGCCTGGGTGACAGAGCGAGACTCCTTCTCCAAAAAAAAAAAAAAAAAAAAAAGTTTCTTGCTTATCTTCCTTACATGTGTGTTTCTATTGTTTTTGGGTTTTTTTTGTTTTTTTTTCTTGTTCTTTCTCATTTAGTCTTGTCTTGTCTTATGGCGTTCCTAGTAAACTTTTATCTGCCTCCAGAGAGTATTGACTTTGACTTTATGGCACACAATTGGAGTAAGCGCAGATCACCTTCGTGTAGTTTGGGACTAAGCTGGTTCAAAGCAGGCTTTAGTTTTTGTGACAGCTGGTCTATTTTTTATTCATTTGGACTCCTAGGGGTGGCCCTTCCAGGGTCCCCACCAAGGTCCCATCTCCTTACTGGGACCCAAATTCTCATGAGGTCATTTCAGTCCTGTGAGTGCCAAACATTCAGCTAGGCTCTCCAGCCTCTTAACCACCACTTCAGACTCAGTTTCTTAACCTCTTAGCCCTCTGTTGTTTACCAATCACCAAATGTGGGAAAAGCACTACATACTGTCAGGGTCACCTCCTAGGCCTGGTCACTCAAGTCCTGGCTTGAAGGTAATCGAAGGTCTCCAATTGCCTTCAAATAGTTTTTCTTGGTGGGGGACACATTTTTGTCCAGGTTTTTTAACTGCTGTTGTGGGAGGCTAATCTATAACAAGCTACTCTGCCTTCAGTGAAAACCTTCATGTCTTTTTTTTTTTTTTTTTTGAGATGGAGTCCCGCTGTTGCCCAGGCTCTAATGCAGTGGCATGATCTCTGCTCACTGTAACCTCTGCCTCCTGGGTTCAAGCAATTCTCCTGCCTCAGCCTCCTGAGTAGCTGGGATTACAGGCGTGTGTCACCATATCTGGCTAATTTTTATATTTTTAATAAAGACAGGATTTAACCATGTTTTCCAGGCTGGTCTTGAGCTCCTGACTCAGGTGATATACCCTCCTTGGCCTCCCAAAGTGCTAGGATTACAGGCGTGAGCCACTGCGTCTGGCCCATCTGTATTTTTAAAAATGTTTTTAATTTGAGGTATAATTTATCTTCAGTGAAATGCACAGATCTGCTATATATTTTGATGAGTTTTAACAAATGCATTACCCATGTATCCCACCTCCTTTGAAGATATAGAACATTCCTATCATCCAGAAAGTTCTCCTGTGCTTTAACCCTGTCCGGCACTCCCCCAGCAGCTGATGAACCTGCTGACGACATTGGTACAGGATTCTGGCCTCCCCAAAAGAGCTGCTTTGAGAAGCCTGCTTGCCTTACCCAGCACTAAGTCCCTGCCTGCTCTCTCAAAATTTCCATCTTTAAACTGGTTGTACCTATAACCCTCCCTCATCAAGTCAAGTAGATAAACAAACCCTGAAAAAAAACACCCCTTCCTGGCCCAGCAGCCCACAACCTAATCTTTCCTGTATCCCAAACTATCAGAAATGTCACTTGCCAGCTGGTTCACCCTCACTAGGGTGGCAGCTGTACAGGAGCAGCTGGGCTCACCCATTAGCAAGAAGCCAATAGCTGGACAGTGACACTCAGACCCCAGCCTGGGAGAGCCTGGCTGAAAGCCCCCTTCTTTCTGGTCCTACTGTGGAGACAGGGGGCGGAGCATCCACAACTCTACTGCCCTCCACATCCTTCAGCTGTGCTTCCTCCTGGGAGACGGAGCTGTTCATTCATTTGGCCAAAGCCTTCTTGAGGGCTGTAGGTTTGACAGGCTGAGTGTGTGGGGGCCACCGTGCTAGAGAGAGAGGCTGGTGTGTCAGAAGGCAGCCACCTGGCCAGAGGAGGGTCAACCCCCTTGGTGTCCTCCTTCCCCTGCGTGGACACAGCGCCCTGCACTCTCCACATTGACTGCTCCCCTCAGAGCCGCTTCCAGGGGAGGGGTTCTAACCCTGTGGTGGGGACACTGTGTTAGTTTACAGTGGGCCAGGCTCCCTCTGACATCTCCAACTCAGAGGCAGTGGAGAGAAGATGAGAAATTCCCTGCACCTCCTCCCTCAGCACCCACCTCTGCACACATCCACATATGGAGACCCTGATGGTGGTCCCTGGGAGTGCTGCCATCTGTGCCTCCTTTCCATGCCTGCAGCAGCCATGCCCACTCTCCAGACCCTCACCCACCTGGCTCAGTAGGGGCTGCACTGCCCTGGGTCCTGCCCCTACACCTGGGCCTCTGTACCCATCAGTTCCCCCAGTCTGGTTCTTATTTCCCCCAACAAGTAGGGAGTCAGTAAGGTCACCTGCTGAGCAAGCTGGGGGAGAGAGTAGGGTGGGGCTGGGAGGATGAGGAGGAGAAGCTTATGGTCATGCTGGAGACTCAGTGGACCAGAGTCTATGCAGGCCCATTGGCTGCCTAGCCATTGGTGATCCCGCTCCCACCCTCATTTCTTCTTTGTTAACAAAACCATGACCGCATTAAATATTGGAAACCTACAAACCTCATGGACCCTCCTCCAGCCTCCCCGCCATGCATTGGTGAGTCTAAGTCAACTCTAGTCATTTCATTCCTCCGGACACTGATTGCCTGGGGCTTGGGCATGAGCTGCCTCTTCACTTGAGCCTGAGCCACACGTGTCCTCTGCACCTACCAACTGATGCACTGGGCCAGGGAGAGCTCCGTCTCGATGGAGATGAGCTGTGAGGAGCTGGTGGCTGGGTGGATCAGGTTGTTGTAATGAGTTTTGTTCAGAGGGTCGTCCATCAGCTTCTGCTCGGCATGGGCCACATGGCAGTCCCCTGGCTAAACACACAGACATGCTGGGCCCTTGTGCAACTGTCCCCCACTGCAGCTGACAGCTATGAAGCGGGAGCCCAGAGGGCCAGGGAGCACAGGCACCCCGAGGGCCGGCTGAAGCATGAAGGCGCTGGCGGGCCTGGCTCTCCCTGGGGACTTCAAATGACATTCATGACAGAGCTCAGCTACCTCCTCCCATGCCTCACCTCTTCCTCCTCCTCCTCCCTCGATCAGTGAACAGCATCCCACGCTCCACACATCTGATACAAAACTGGTTGTCTCTTCCAGACTCCTCCCTCAGTTCATCCAAGTGGCCACCAAATCCTGTCTGTCCTCCCATCTCTACAGCTACACCCATGACCCTGCCTCCCCCGCCCTGTCCACCTTCTGTTCTCTCCACCCGCACTCTGTCCCCACCATCCATGTGCCATACAGTGGTAGACTGGTCTTTCTACAGCACACTGGACTAGCGCCCTTCACTGCCCACAGCTCTCAGAGCTGGAGGTGGAGTTGAAACTCACGGTTTGACATTCAGAGCTCTTTCCCCCTCGGCACTGGCTTATCCAAAGTGCTCACAGTGCGGGGCAGGAGCCCCTGACTCAAATGTGGGTGTGGTGCACAACTGGGTCATAGGCTTTCCCTCAGAAGAGACAGGGCTGAGATGGGGAGCTTTTCTGGGTTCAGAGTTAGACCCACAGAGTGCAAGGTTTCTCCGAGACACCAAATTGCGGGTCCAGCTGGCAGCTGGCTCCTGGTCTGGAGCTTCAAGGAGAGGTGTCAGCTCTGAGCCACATTCAATAGCCAGCTGAAATGCAGCCTCCTGCAGGGAGTCCCTGGAGCTTCCACAGCCTCAGATCTGCCCCTCTGCATACCCCAGAGCCCTTGCCAAGTGGCGTTTGGTTCTTCATGTCATCTCCCTCCCATGTCTGGGAGTAATGGTGAGGTGCAGGGACTTGAGCTTGTGTACTCTGGTGTCTTAAAGGAGAATGTGTCAAGTAGAGTGGAGGCGGCTTGGAAAGAGGGAGACTCAGAGGAGAGTGAAGATCACGTGACCAGGCGAGCCTGGGAGCAGGAAAAGAGATGAGCGTGAGCAGAGGAAACTGCTGGGGCAGGGGAGCAGATGGGAGGATCAGGGAATGAGGGGGCTGGAGAGGTGGGGTTGGGGATGCTGGCGAGGGGCTTCCTGGCTCGCCAGGCTCAGGAGTCGGTTACATCCTCCCACAAGGACCAGCTCACCTGGTCGCCCCAAAGCCCTCCCTCTGTGGGTGGGCCCAGAGGGCCCAGAGGGCCCAGAACATAGATTACCCAATTGAGCAGGACTGAGGCAGACTCAGGTGGGTGCTGGGCTGGACTCCTGGCTGTGGGGAGCAGCCGCCACCGTACCTACTGCATCCACTTTCCAACTTGCTGCCCATCTGAGCAGATGCAATATTAGGCACCTTGTGAAACGTGCTCCTAGCGCACCTCTTGGCTGCTGCCCCTCCTGCAGAGTGCCTGGGCACTCCAGAGGGGACATGACCTTCCTGTGGAGACTTGACCTAGATTCTGAGTCCTGCCTTGCATACCAGGGGCTGCTACCCCAGAGGCCAGCTGCTTGAGTACCCTGGAAGCCTGTCTGTAGCCCAGGCTACAGCTGGGTCCATCCCACAGCCCTTCTTTAGTGCATCTATTTGGACTGACTGCTCATTTCATAGAGAGGGGTGTGTCTTGCCCCAGCCCATTTGGCATGTCTAAGGCAGTTGTGGGGTCAGAATCTGCAGCTCCCAGGCCCCAGCCCTGCAACAGTAGGAGAGGCTGGACCCACATCTCTACAGTCCCACCGGGCTGGTGCGAGCGGGCTCCCGAGTCCAGGGCTGCTCTGCAGGCTGTGGGGCTCATGCACCAGCTCTGAGCCCACCTGATGTGCTCAGGTTGCTCACCTTTGGGCCTGTCCTGCCTCTCAGGCATTCGGCTGACCCTGAGGGCGTCTCCCTCATCTTCACCACCAGCTATATTCGGAGTTATGCAAACATTACCACTACCCAATTTCCAAACATTTTCATCTCCCTAGAAAGAAACCCCATACACATTAGCAGTCACTCCCTATACCCATCTCCCACACTGTTGATCCCGGAAACCTCTGATCTAATTTCTATCTCTGTAGATTTGCCTATCCTGGACATTTCATATAAATGGAATCATGCAAAATGTGCCATTTTCTGACTGGCTTTTCTTTACAGAGATTATAAATCAAATGCCAGAAGAGCCTAAGCTTAGGATAGTGTTTGTTGTACAACTTTGACAACTCAACTTTTTTTAAAGTTGAAAATCTGACTGTGTCTGTATATGTAGCTTATTATCCTTAGGTGAACCTTACTTTGATTATTAAGAATTTTTTCCCTAGTATTATTGAACTGTTTCAATATTCAGCAGGAATCCTTCAGAGACAAAGAGCAGTAGGAATTTGGAACACATATTGACAAAATGAATGTAACTTAATACAGTAGTAGAGTCGACCACTTTTAGGTGTCGATGCTGCTGAAAGTGTATATTGAGGAAAAGTTTACTTATCCTACTTTTTGTGGAGGTGCTAGAATACTTCTGTCTTGTGTTATATTTCAAGAAACCTTTGCAGAGGTATTATGTGGTTGTACAAATGTACTTTCTTTTGACCTGAAAATGCAAAAACTTCCTTTCTTCCCACTTTCTGAGACTCTGCAACCTTAAAGGAAGAGTGGGATACTTTAAAGGAAAGGTGGTGGTGGCTGGGTAATGGGTAGCAATGTCTACTGTATACTTCCTTTCCCAAAACAAGTCCCTGTCTACCGTCAGCATTTCCAAAATGTGAAGACCAAGTGTGGTGTTAACTCATTAACTAATGACTGGACTTTGAGTGGTTGTGGAAGCAAAATCTCAGTGAGTGCCTGGAGGTCCTAATTCTGTTAAATCAGTAAGTGTACATTCTTTACAATACTCTCTTAGCCCAGTGGCAGATTTAAGGAGTGGAAGATAGATTTCTATGTTTCAGAAATCAGACACACAAAGAGTAAAAATTTTTAACCCCATGATTCTTTGCCCAAGTTTAATTTTTTGGAGAGTTTTTCTTTAGATTTTCTTTCCTTTCCATTAAACTGTTACTTTGAAAGGTATCAGGGTTTGGGCAAAGCAAGTAGGAAAGACACTGGCTTGGATTCTCCAGGATAAGGGAGTGAGGAGGACTTCTTTCCCTCATTTTATTGTTGAATAATGTCATCATAACAATTATTAAGGTGAATAGTCTACAGTAGAAGTTTTTAGATGCCTTCTCTACAGAGTAATTTGATTTAGTCAGTGCAAGGATGCCTTTGCTTAGCTGGAATGGAAGATGTGCAGGCTGGAGTGGTCTTGGCAACTCTTCCGGGGGGAAATGCAGCATTTGGAAGTGTAGGAGGCAGAAGGAATCTCAGGCAAGGGAAAGGTGGGCAGAGACCCGGTGGACAGAACAGGTTGTGGTGGACTTGGTGTCCACATAGACCTAATCAGTGGTCTTAGCTTTTGTGTTTTCAAAATTACCACAGTTTGTGTTCTAAAACTGTCATCCCCTTGATTTTATTTTAGGCATGCTATCTGTGTATTTTGAAATTTAAAATAACAGTAAAGGAGAAATGAAATTATTTTGTTTGAGAAAAAGTTATGGTTAAAACATCTTGATCTAAATTTTTTTTTTTTTTTTTTTTTTTTTGAGACGGAGTCTCGCTCTGTCGCCCAGGCTGGAGTGCAGTGGCGCGATCTCAGCTCACTGCAAGCTCTGTCTCCCGGGTTTACGCCATTCTCCTGCCTCAGCCTCCCTAGTAGCTGGGACTACAGGCGCCCGCCACCTCGCCCGGCTAGTTTTTTGTATTTTTTAGTAGAGACGGGGTTTCAGTGTGTTAGCCAGGATGGTCTCGATCTCCTGACCTCGTGATCCACCCGTCTCGGCCTCCCAAAGTGCTGGGATTACAGGCTTGAGCCACCGCGCCCGGCCTGATCTAAATAATTTTCTACAGGGAGATTTGATACATCCCCAGAAGCTGTCTTGGGTTCAGAAAACAGTCTTCAGACCTAGAAAGGACTTGAGGAGTCCCAGAGAGGAGCTGCATGGTCTGAACCATTTGATTCTCACAACAGAATAAGTAAAAACAATTTTAACCATGAAACCATGCAGATGTTCATATTCTGGATAGGGTAAGGTCATTGTCAGAGGAAAAACTTGGCCATCACAGGATGGGAGAGAAAGTTGAGTTGTAAAGAATCCTCCAATGCCATTTAAGGGAACATGTTCTTCTGCCCCTATTCTTTGGAACATTTAGGGCTAATTTCTTAGTTTTTGACATCACAAAAATTTCAAACTATTTTGTTCCAAGAGCCATTTCAAACAATTGACTACAATTTCAGAGCAATTACATGAGAGTAATACCAATAGAGTTTTTAAGTTACCCATAGTCCTGTATCTCTAACAATTATGTTCATGCTTGCATGTTCTCTTTTCATCTTTACTGTGTGCATACTTTCTTAGTAATGACGTGTAGACATTTTTTAAGCAGGAATAATTCTCGAGATAATTTTGTATGTTTTCTTTTTTCTTTTTAAGGTGTGTATTGGGTGGAGGAGCATTATGCATGAAACTTCTCACAAAACAGGTGATTATTTTCTTATAATACCCAATTTTCACCCTCAATAGAGTGTTTTGATTATGTAAGTTAGATTGTAAGTAGAAGGTTCTCTTAAAGAAATTTTAGTGTTTTTTTTTCATAACTCCTACTTTCAAGGATGAAAAAGGTAAACCAGAAAAATGAGATTGTACTTGGTGCTGAATCTATGCCAGGATAGGCATTAAGAGTGACCATTATTTAAGGTTCTAATTTGCTCGTGTTGGGCACTGAGAAAATTGGTTTGTTGCTTTTTGTGAGATTCTAGAAATGTTCCAATTTTACTTTTCCCCCTTGTCTCCAGACTTTAAACACCGATCTGCTGCTGTTGAGGCATATGCCATTTTGTTAGGCCTTCTCAAGTGGGAATCAGGAATGCTGCTGTGTTCTAGAGATGTTTTGTTCTTCCTGTAGGGATGAAGCAGTGCCTACTCGATAATTGGTCATTGTTCAAAGAAATGCCTCCTGACTCAAAGGCAAAGCCAGAGTGCAGCTTGGAGCAAAGAAGGTACTTCTCTTAAGAATTTTACATAAACCATAAGATATATTTTGTATTACTTTGTGAGCCTTCTTCCTGTCTTGATTTAATTCTTTTTGAGAGAATTCATTTCATTTTCATTTGGTTTGTTTTCTTCTTTTTTTTTTTTTTTTTTTTTTTTTTTTTTTTTTGAGGCGGAGTCTCGCTCTGCCGCCCAGGCTGGAGTGCAGTGGCCGGATCTCAGCTCACTGCAAGCTCCGCCTCCCGGGTTCACGCCATTCTCCGGCCTCAGCCTCCTGAGTAGCTGGGACTACAGGCGCCCGCCACCTCGCCCGGCTAGTTTTTTTTTGTATTTTTAGTAGAGACGGGGTTTCACCATGTTAGCCAGGATAGTCTCGATCTCCTGACCTCGTGATCCGCCCGTCTCGGCCTCCCAAAGTGCTGGGATTACAGGCTTGAGCCACCGCGCCCGGCCTGGTTTGTTTTCTTCTTGTTGCAAAGACAAGCTATAGAAAAAACAGAAGTATAGGAAAATTGCAGATACTAACTGATAATCACTTAATGATTTAGTACCTGCTTGTTTAGTCTTTGTTATATTTACTGAAGACAAACATGGCGACAGTTGTAAATTTATTATTGGTATGTATACCCTAGTAAGTTAAAAGTTATATGTACTTTGAAGTTTTGCAAAATTGAGTTCATATTATGGAATTAATTCCTGATGAACTTTTATGTGCTAGGCACTAGTCTTTTTATTTATGGATTGATTTTTCCTTTTTTTTCCCCTCTGTGCCTATGCTTACCAAGTCTTTTTAATTTTTACTTTTTATTAATTCTTTCAATCCTCTTAATAACTTAAAAAGAGGGTATTACTAATATCTGCATCTTGTAGATGAGGTAACTGAAGGTAGGTAACTTATTCAAGGTCACAGGCAGCAGAGCAAAGATTAAAACCAGACAGTCTGGCTGCCCAAGGCCCAACCGAGAGGAGCTGAGAGCACGCCATGGGACAGAAGGATGTTGTTCAGGCCGGTTTTCTGTTCAGTTAACGTGAAATGCAGGCTGTAACCTTAATTCTAGGACATTACCGAGAAAGTCTTCCAAAGCCATAGCTTTACCTTGACCATGACTTTTAGCAATAATTTTTGGTATAAAGGCCACATGGTGCTCTAAGAAGCTTCTGTTCACTTTTATGGAGGGACTGATTGTTGAGCTAAATAGTGAAATGCTGGAGCACACAGCCTTTAGGGCAGCTTCTGACCTATTTCTGTGGTCAGGAAAGACACCTGTCTTTCCTTGCTGCCCACAGCCTCCAGTTATTCACCTTCAGAATTTCCTAGTCTGTGATCACATTCAGATGAGAGATCTGTTTTTGTTTTTTCCAGGGTAGGAGGAAGGGAGTCACCAACAATACTAAGCAGTCTAGTCTCCTGTGTATAAATGAGTAAGTTTGGGGAGGCAAATTTGAAAACCTTGTGTAATCCTGAGATTTTCCTAGAGAATCTAAGAGAATGTCAGCATTATGCATGGTGGTAAAGTGGGCTTATGTTAGTTGTATCCACAGCTCTCATCAAAAGCAGACACCAATACTTTTTGAGGGAAGTTTTCTCTAACTGAAGCCTATAGGTTGCCAAAGATTAAAAGCAGGCAACTATGAATTCAGATAAATCATAACATTCAAGTAGTCAACCCAACATGTTTGAGAATTGTTAAAAATAATGAATAATATATTTCCCAAAGACTGTAGTTTTTGGAATTATCAGATACAGAACACAAACTTCAAATATTAAAATTGTGGGAAAATAGTTACATGTGAAATCTAATATATATATAAAAATATATACAAATTCATTCATAAAATTAAGCAAGGAGTAAGACCACCAGAAATGATGAGGAAGACCTGAAAGGAAAATGGATGAAATAGAACTTACAGAAATAAAATACATAGCTGGGTATGGTGACACACACACCTGAAATCCCAGCACTTTTTGGGAGGCTGAGGTGGGAGGATGGCATGAACCCAGGAGTTGGAGACAAGCCTGGGCAACATGCTAAGAACTCATTTCTACAAAAAATACCCCACCACCACCACCAAAAAAAAAATTAGCTGGGTGTGGGGCACCTGCCTATAATCCCAGCTACTCAGGAGGCTGAGGTGGGAGGATCACTTGAGCCCAGGAGGCCAAGGCTGCAGGTTCGTACCACTGCACTCTAGCCTGGGTGACAGAGTGAGACACTCTCTCTGAATACAATAAAATTAAAAATGTAATTGTTGAAATAAGAGACTCAGTGGATGGATTAGACATGAGAAGAAATAATTAATTGGTTAGATGATTCTCTGCAAAAAGTAAATCAGTATGTTACACAGAGAGACATGAGGATAGTTGATAGGGCAGAAGTTGGTGGGCTTGGCAGGGACAGGGAGATCAGAATGAGGTCTAAAATATGTGTTAGTGAAATCCCTGGAGGACGTATTAAAATAATATTAGAAAGTGAGAGAAATAGAAGTTCCTTGTTTTGTTTTGTTTGTTTGTTTTGAGATGGAGTCTTGCACTGTAGGCTAGGCTAGAGTGCAGTGGAATGACCTTGGCTCACTACAAGCTCTGCCTCCTGGGTTCACACCATTCTCCTGCCTCATCCTCCCAAGTAGCTGGGACTACAGGCACCCACTACCATGCCCGGCTAATTGTTTGTACTTTTAGTAGAGATGGCTTTTCACCGTGTTAGCCAAGATGGTCTCAATCTCCTGACCTCCTGATCCGCCTGCCTCAGGCTCCCAAAGTGCTGGAATTACAGGCATGAGACACCGCCCCTGGCCCAAAAGCTTTGGTTTTTACAGATATTAAACATGTCTTTTGTTTAAGAAAAAAAAATCTTAACAATAACATAGAAGAATAAGAGAAACATTTTTCCAAACGAGAGAAACCATTGTGATTATTTTATCTTATTGGAATGTTGAATAATATAGTCTGCTTCATTAACCATCAAGCATGCTATGGATTTTCCATTTTTATATGATCTGTATCTCAGTTAACGTAATACTGGTAATTTTTGTGCTGTATGAAAAATATAGGCCAAAATCATAGACCTTGAATAGAAGCTGGGTCATGAAGATAACACTGGAGGAACAGATACATACACAAAAACTGAAAAACACACATATAAAGTACACACACATATATTTTTTAAAGTTTTAAAGCTTTTAAAGCAAAAGCCAGCCCCTCCCTTCTCCCAGAGTGGGTGGCCTCTCCCCGTCTTAGACTGGATGGGGACAGCGGTTGCGTGGGCAGATTTCCTTGTGAGCCACAGGTCCCTCTGGCCATGCTGCTGTCTGGCCACACCCCCTTTCCCTTTCATCTTTCTCATTGACCAATGGGCTTGGAGCATTAAGGCCACACCCCTATTCCGCATTCTCCTGGGGCCCTGGTTACGCCTCCTCTGGCTCAGTCGCACAGCAACCTGGTTGGTGACTGGAGGTGTTGATCAGTGCTCGCTGGGATTTTGCTGATGTGGCCCCAACCCCGCCTCCCTCCCTACCCTGCCATGGCAGGAGAAATTCGAGAGAGCAAATTGGCAGCAGCCAAGAAAAAGGTAAAAACACACTAGGTCATGGCCCCCCAACCCAGTCACAGATGCCCTCCGACGACAAGACTCCTGCCAGAGTCCATACCACTTCTGAGGCACACCAGACTGGGTCCCCCACCCCAGTGCCTCTGGGCTACCCCCACCAAAGTTTTGTCAGTCAGCCCCACCCCTTCAGCAAGCAGCCCTGTCCCTGCCCTCGGCAGTCACCTCAGGGTGACTTTGGGCGGGTGACTCCTGGGGCTCCCCACTCCATTAATGGGCCCTCATCTCCTGCTGCCCCAAGCTTGACCTCCCTTGGCTCTTTGGGCTCACGTGTCCAAGAACCTGGGTCCCCCAGCCCCAGGCCCCACCCTTGCCATTCATCCCTGGGTGACTTTAGGACTATGGGACTTTGGGAAGCTGGTGACTCCTGGGGCTCCCTGCTGCAGACTCTGCCCTCCACTCCTGCTACCTCAAGGTCACCCTCCCTGGGCTCTTTGCACTGGCGTCTCTAAGGACCTGGGTCCCAACCCTGTGTTTCCCTCCTCCATTGTGGAGCAGTGACTCGGACACACTACTGATGTGGTCCCTCCCCCCGACCTGGAGGAGTAGAATGTGGTGATGTCACAATCCACCTAGAAACTGTCATTACTGGAAGACCGGCCTTTGATCTTATGACCCAGTCCCCTAAGCATTCTCACCCCATTTCTGGTTCCTCTGGTCATAGCGCAAATTTCCAGCTGGAAGGGGAATGGAGACCATGGGACCTAGGAGCAAGGGGTTCCAGGCTGCCTCACTCCCTTAACATCGACATTGACAGTGAGAAAAGCCTACACTTCCCCTGTGAGCGCAAAACATTGACAGTATCTCTGGGTGGCAATGGGAGAATTGGTTTTGTTTTGGTTTTCTCCCAGCTTTCTACTTTCCAGAGAGATTTTAACAATTTTTTCTGAGTTCTCCACCTCATATTCTATTTCTCCATGGTTCTGGGACCAGACTGCCCTTCAGTCAGTGGTCTCTGAAGTGAGATTTGCTCATCTTCTGAGGAATAGATCTCGGGAAACTGAACTTGACAGCTTGAATCTTCCTCATATTATCTCATCCTGCAGTACTTTGAGTGCCACAGGATAAATATGGGACATCTTTCTGAAGCATCAGGTTCCCTTGATTCTCTTGAGATCAAGAGAAAAGACATTAATGTACTTAGGGATGACAGTCACATAGGTCTCTAAGAGTATACCAGACTTCTCTCTGAAATGAGGTTTGGGTTGTCCTCTTTCTGATAAATTCCCAGATTTAACAGAAAGGCTGCCTTCTGCCATGAGGACACATTGATATAAAAGTTTGAGAGGTGGCCAGGCGCGGTGGCTCAAGCCTGTAATCCTTGCACTTTGGGAGGCCGAGACGGGCGGATCACGAGGTCAGGAGATCGAGACCATCCTGACCTAACACGGTGAAACCCCGTCTCTAGTAAGAAATACAAAAAACTAGCCGGGCGAGGTGGCGAGCGCCTGCTGTAGTCCCAGCTACTAGGGAGGCAGGAGAATGGCATAAACCCGGGAGGCGGAGCTTGCAGTGAGCTGAGATCCGGCCACTGCACTACAGCCTGGGTGACAGAGCGAGACTCCATCTCAAAAAAAAAAAAAAAAAAAAAAAAGTTTGAGAGGTACTGGTGCACTTCTTCACACTAACAGATGTGTGAGGATGTATGACTAAACCACATGGCAACCAGTTCCTGCCTACTTAATGTTTAGTTTTCTACCTCTGCCTCTGGTTTTGGTCCCTGGCAGCTGCTGATCCTTGGCAAAACCCCAGAGCTTGGAGTCAGAAGACTGAGTTTTAAAGTTCCAGTATCGCCTTTTTCTTCTTCTTTTTTTTTTTCCCCTATCCATATCCATCCCTCTCAGTCACTAAATGATTGTGACAACACCTTGTACAGTTGTTGGTGTCATTAAATCAGATGGTGTATAGAGTATTTTGTAAAAACTGTAAGGAGGATGTGGCTGTAGGGGCTGATGGTTCCCATGAGTATTACTGCTCTTCTTTCCCACAGTTAAAAGAATACTGGCAGAGAAACAGCCCTGGTGGTCCAGCAGGAGCGAAGAAGAACGGGAAAACAAATGGCAGTGTCCCTGAGACAGCCACTTCTGGTGGTTGTCACTCACCTGGGGATGTGAGTCTTGGCTGACCACGCTCCTGGGGACAAGGGGCACAAGGGGCAGTAGAGGGTAATAGTTAAGATTGTGGATAGACTGTTGGGTGCTGGTTCAGAATTCTGGGTTTGAATCCTGCCTCTCCATCTGTTAGGGATATGATTTAGGGCAAGTTGCTTGAGCTCTTTGGGCCTCTCTTTGCACATCTGTGTAATAGAGGTGGTATTATTGTTTGACTTCCATTTGTGAAGTTTAAATGAGATTTGTTACTGTTGTTTTTATGCTAATCCCTAGTACATGGCCTGTGGTAAACACCCAGGACACCCAGGATATGGTCATTGCTGTTCGATTTTCCTCATCCCCAGTCTCAAGGGGAAGCCAGGACAATGAGAACAGCCACTTGTCATCAGGATTCACTGAAAGGGCCCCAGGATGGGATGGTGTGGAGATAAAAAGCATGAGAGAAGTTGGCACAAAGGAGTTATGGGACAAAGGGTCCAAGATAGGCAGAAAAGAAAATGTTGCCAGTTGATGGGGAAGAAAGGAAGTCAGAGGGCTCTGACACTGAGGGGGACAGAACATCTCCAGGTGCACTCTCATCTCTTGTAGTCAGCAACGGGTATCCTCGGAGACAGCCCTATATCATTTGCTCCCCTGAAGGAACTGGAGGTAAGAGGCTCTGGGCGGAGGTGCAGTGACCCTGCAGGCCAATCCTCCAACCTCCTCCCACAGCGGGGACTGGGTGCCCCTCTGCCAGCTGAGACAGCCCACACACACCCCAGCCCTAATGATTGTTCTCTCTACCTCTCCACGACTCCTCCTCCACCTCCTCCTCTCTGCATGCATCTCAGAGCCCGTGCCAAGAACTACCAGCAGCTCTGGACTCGAGGTCCGTCAAAATCAGTCAACTGAAGAACACCATCAAATCCTTGGTAAGAGTCCTGTGGGGTCTCCTGATTCCACACTGCCAATCCTGGGCTCCAGTTTCCCCTTGGGGCCCTGAAGAAAGGGGCTGGCGGACCTGGTGCCAAGGACAAATAGGGAGCTGGGGTGCTCAGGTCTCACCTGGAGGGACCCCAGAGCACGCAGCATGGCTGTTCTTTTGCTGCCCTCTTTGCCGACTGTCTCCTCTCCACACACCCCTGCTCGAGTCCTTGCTACACACGCCCTGGGGTTGTGGCCTCTCGGGGGAGTGAGAGCCTGACTGGTTGTCAGGGGCCCCGTATTTCTGCTGTGGCTCAGTCCCTAATTTGCTCTTTGATTCTGGACAAGCCGCCTCTCCTTTCTGGACTCGTGTTTCCAGAGGAGGTAGTGAGTATCAAAGGTGTCTGTTAGCTCTGAGAGTCCGAGATTTAAAGGCCACCTAGAATGGGAACCTCAGGGCCAAGGGCTCCTGACTGTCCTTTTCCATCCTATATCTGCTGTGAAGAACCGTACCTGGCCCGTTCGTGCTCAGTAAATGTTTATGGAATGAACGCACTTTTCTAAATCACAAGCAGGCGGAAGGGGGCCTTTCTCAAACTCCATCTCTAGAGGTTTATGTTCCTGTCCTCTCAAGAGATTCCAGATTCAGACTTTGAGATCTGTGGCTGTGGGCGAAAGCCAACAAAGACCGGAATCCTCTGTCCTTGGGCGCTTGAGGAGAGTTTACCAGTTCGTGTTCCCATTGGGTCTGAGAACTTTGCCTTTAAAATCCATTCCTGGCCCCTGCCTACCGCTTCCTGGCCTGGGGAATAGAGTTGAGGAGCCACCTTCCATCACCTTAATTTGACTCTCCCCACAGAAACAACAGAAGAAACAAGTGGAACATCAGCTGGAAGAAGTAATGTGATTTCTTTTTTTCCTCGCGACATGACCGCTGGGTTTGGGGGGCACTCAGATGTAGAGGCCCCAGTCTCGTCTCACCCACTCCCAGCCTGGGGAAGAAGGCTCACCCCTCAGATTCCACCCCATCCCCACAGGGTCCCTGATAACCTGGTCCCATGGGTGGGCCTGTCCTGGGGCAGTGGTGGCTTTCTGGGGGCATGTCTCTTGCTGTGCCATCTCTGCCTCCCCCTGGTAAGAGCTCTGTCTTCCTCTTCCTATAGGAAAAGAAGGCAAACAGTGAGAAACAGAAAGCCGAAAGGGAGCTACAGGTGAGTGGAGGGTGTGAAGTTTTCTCCTGTCCTCCGGGGAATGTTTCTTTCCTTCTCTTCCAGCACTTGCTTGGCTTTTCTCCCAAAGGTTCAAATCCAGACATTGAACGTACAGAAAGGGAAACTAAGTACGGACCTGTTTCACGCGAAACGTTCGCTCAGATACTTTGAAGGTGGGAATCTGGGGGCCCTGTCATCCTTCAGCCTGGCACTTTGACAGGTCTTTAGGGGGAGTCCTTTGGGCCCCATCTCAACTCTCTCATTACAGAGGAGTCCAAGGATCTGGCCGACCGCCTGCAATGTTCATTGCAGCGTAAAGGAGAGTTGGAGCAGGTTCTCTCTGCTGTCACCGCCACACAGAAGAAAAAGGCGAACCCAGTGAGTCCAACCACCTGCCCCGTCCCCTGGGAGCCCGGCTTCGCAGATGGAGGAGTGAGCCCCTAGGTCCCTTCTGCAGGATGGAGTGTCCTGCCCAGGAGGCAGCATGGCCATTTCTTGCTGTTTTTGTATGTGGTTGTTAGAGGCAGCCTGGGGCTGAGTCAGCTGCTGTGGGTGAGTTGGGGGGCGCGGTGGGGGGTGAACACTGGATGCAGAGCTTGGAGGCCAAGTGCCTGCCCTGCCCTTACCTGGCTGGGGTCTTGGCCAAGTCCTAGGTGGGGTGTTGGGTACTTGTTCTGTGAAGGTACAGAAGAGTACCTTTAGTATGATACCATTTCTGTAGAGAGGAAACGTGTGTGTGTGTGTGCACATATTATGATAGTATACATAAAACATGTCTGCAACAGTTCAAAAACACTCGGGAGAGAGCAACAAGGTGGCTGGGAGATACTTCCCTTCTGTACTTTCTGAGTTTTGGACTATGCAAAGGTATCATCGTGTCAAAAACTGAACAAAAGATTAATTTTCCCCTTCCTATCTGTGCTTTCAACCCCAGCAAGAAAATGGGCTTAGAGAATCAGATAGACCTGGGTGTTCAAATCCCAGCTCTGCCTAAGTGATGTTAGGCAAGCATTTAACCTCAAATACTCCATGTTTTTTCATCTACGCAATAGAGGGAATCATAGTAACTGTCTCCTTTGGTGGTTGTGAGGATTAAAGGGAATTGCTAGCATGGTGCCTGGTGAAGCACTCCATAAAGGTTCAGACAGTGGTAGTAATAACAGTAATAACAAGAGCAATATTGTCTGATCTCTCTGGGCCTCTGTTAGCCAGCTGTAAATTCGATCTCTTTCCCTGTCCCTTCCAACTTTACTGAGTTCTTTTAAAAACCAGACCACAGACTTGGAAATGCCTCGATGTTTACTGACTGAGTTGTATACTGAGTCTAGCCCTAGCTCTTTTAAGGGGCACTGTGTGGAATGGCCCAGGCTCCCCAGATTGAAACTTCTCACTCTTCACCATCCAGTCCTCGAGCCACAGGAAAGCACGTATGGAGTGGAAGTTAGAGTGGTCCACACGGGAGCAGGCACTTCTGAAAGCACAGCTGACCCAGGTGAGGTTTTGCAGAGGGAGGGAGGGAAGCAAGATGACCCCAGGTGGCCAGGAGCAGGTGAGGACCAGTGACAGCCCTTCCTAACTTCTGTGCCCATTCTTGCAGTTGAAGGAGTCGCTAAAAGAAGCTCATCTAGAGAGAGATGAATATGTTCAACATCTAAAAGGAGAGAGGGCCCGGTGGCAGCAGAGGATGAAGAAAATGTCACAGGAGGTGAGATCTGATCCTTCAGCCCCCTGACCTTAGATAGGTCACGGAATCTTTCTGGGCATCTGTAAAATGGGAATATACAGCCAGAGGTGGTCATGGGTCTGGGCTTTGTGGAGGTGGGGGCAGAGAGGGAGATGGCAGCCACCAGCCCCTCTCTCCAGGGCCCTTTCCCCCTGTGCTTTGGGCAGGTTTACACCTTGAAGAAGGAGAAGAAGGATGACATGCGTCGGGTGGAGAAGCTGGAGAGGAGCTTGTCCAAACTCAAGAACCGGATGGGTAAGATGGGGCTGGTGTGACCTGGGAGAAGGCCTGGCATCAGAGGGCTGTGGGGGGCTTAGAATGCCCCAGGGAGGTGGGTGGATGGAAGGGCTTTGAGGCAGAGGGAAAGAGGTCTGTGCCAGGAGACGGCAAGTCTTGTCATCTGTGTGAGCCTCAGTGTCCCCATCAGCACAGAGGGCCCATTGTCAGCCACCCACAGTGCTCTCCATCTGAAAGTGGTTGGAAGATTGGCTACCATCGGGGTGCGAGGAATCATTAGCAGTGAGGCCAAGTTTGGGGAGCCTGAGAGGAGCTGTGCACCAAGAGGAGGGTTTTTGTTGTTTTTTTTTTTGGTTTTGGAGAATCCAGAGTCCCTTATTGTCTACTTCCTTTCTCAGCTAAACCCCTGTCCCTGGACCCCCCAGCAGTGCCCGCTGAGGAGGAGCTGCAGCACCTGAGGAAGGAACTAGAGAGGGTGTCAGCAGAGCTCCAGGCCCACGTGGAAAACCATCAACACGTAAGTCTCCTGAACCAGACACTAAAGGAGAGGCTTCGGGAGCAGGAGGAGAGGCTTCAGCAGCTGGCCGAGCCACAGAGCGGCGTCGAGGAGCTGGTGCATTGCCCCACCTGCAGAGCCTATCCTCCTCCCTAGCCCTCCAGGCCTTTGTTTCCCCACCTGTGAAATGGGGCAACGTAGCCCTCATGTGAAATGTTACTTCTAAAGGCACCTGTGAGCCAGAGCCCTGCTCTGGTGGCTGTGGGACAGAGGGGATGATTTTTCTAACCTGCCTCCACCCTTCCCCGTGCCGTGGGAGGCAGACACCAAGTTCTGGGGTCTCCAGTTTCAGTGGGTGGCTGCTGATTGCTTCTCTCTGTCCAGAACAACGAGAACAAGAGCGCACTGCACTTGGAGCAGCAAATAGAGGAGCTACAGGGAAAGCTGGGTGAGGTAAAGGAGACGGTAACCTCCACCCCATCCAAGAAGGCCTGGGAGGCGGGCACCAGCCTCTGGGGATGGGAGGTGCCAGGCCAGAAGCAGCTCCAGCCTGGGGGAGGTGACTCCACCACCCTCCAGGGCAGTCCTGAGACTGTTTCTTGCTTCCTGTCCCCTGACTTTTAGAGGTGGGTAGCCTTGGGCTCCTCCCAGGTCTGGACATCATCATCCCAGCTAGAGGCATAGAGCCCCCCAATCATAGGGGAAGAGGCAGTGGGATAAGAGGCTCCTTATGCCAGGCACGGTGGCTCACGCCTATAATCCCAGCACTTTGGGAGGCTGAGGCAGGAGAATTACTTGAGGTCGGAGTTCAAGATCAGCCTGGCCAACGTTGTAAAACCTCATCTCTACTAAAATTACAAAAAAAAAAAAAAAAAAAGTAGCCTGGCATGGTGGCTCATGCCTGTAATCCCACCTACTCAGGAGGCTGAGGCCCGAGAATCACTTGAGCTCAGGAGGTGGAGGTTGCAGTGAGCTGAGATTGCACCACTGCACTCCAGCCTGGGCCACAGAGTGACACTCTGTCTCAAAACAAAACAAAAAGGCTCCTTAGATTAAAACTGGATTCCAGCCTCAGTTCCACTGGTCACCATTCAAGTACTTTGCATCTCTAAGTCTCTGTTTCTTTAACTTCAAAAGGAAGTTCGCATTTTCCTTACAGAGGTGCTGAGGATTAAATGAGATAATACATGGAAAGCACTAGGCCTCTTAACACGCTTAGCAGATGGCGGCTGGCTCCCACTGCTTTTCCACCAGTCTGTGGCCTACAGTTTAAATGGTGAAGGAGGGTATGAGATTTGAGGCTGAGGAAGGAGGCATGGTGTTCTAGGAAAGGGAGGCAGTCACTTAGGCCTGGAGCAAGGGGCCAGGGGCCTGGGAAGATGACAGAGCCCCACAGTGCCCTCACTACCTTATTGATGAGTCCAGAATCTGGAAGCCAGCAGCCACGTGCCGTCACACCCAGGGTCTTCCTGCAGGTGGAGCTGAAGAGCCAAAAGGCTCAGAGTCTGCAGCAGCACCCAGACCATTACCTGGGTCACCTGCAGCAGTCCGTGGCCACCTATCAGCAGCAGGTGGCCGCCTATCAGCAGCTGACCTCTGAGAAGGAGTTGCTGCACAGGCAGTTACTGCAGCAGACCCAGCTAATGAACCAGCTGCAGCAGCAGGAAGCTTGGGGCAAAGCGGTGGCCGAGATGGCCCGCCAAAAGTTGTAGGAGACCCAGGGGAGGGACCTGCTGAGGACGGGGCCATGAGGGGGATGACCTGGCAAACTCCATGCCTTCTTACTCTTTCCTGGCCCCTTAGGAGCACCTGGAGGCTGCCAGGCAGCAGAATCAGCAGCTGCAGGACCAACTGAGCCTCATGGCTCTCCCTGGGGAAGGTACGGGAGACCACTCAGAGGAAGAGGACAGAGCCCCAGGAGGAAGGGGGGACTGTTAGCAGCACAGGATTGAGGAGTTGGAAGAGACCTTTAGAACAGCTGGTCATTATGCTGACCGGGTGCCTGCACTAAGTTCGGCATCAATATGGTGACCTCCTGGGAGCGGGGGGGCCACCAAGTTGCCTAAGGATGGCTGAACTGGCCCAGGTCAGAAACGGAGCAGGTCAGAACTCCTGCACACGACTGGTAGTGGGACTGTGCCTGGGCGGTGTAGCAAGATCTTGGGTCTTAAAAATAAAAATAAAGAACAGCAGCTCATTCCTCTCTGGGGAGGGGCTGGCTCAGGGTTACCCAGTGAGGGTGGAGGCAGAGGTGGGCCCACAGTACCTCCCTTATTGGGTTGTCTGAGGAGCCCTCTGGCCACTCCCCACAGGAGATGGAGGAGAACATCTGGACAGTGAGGAGGAGGAGGGACCTCGGCCCATGCCGAGCGTCCCAGAGGACCTGGAGAGCTGGGAGGCCATGGTGAGCCTGACTCCCCCCGCACCCATTTTACCACCTTCCTCTGTGGTCCCAGCCCCAGGGACTGGGGGCGAGTCTGTGATCGGGGAGCCCCAGCGGGGCCTGTGGGAAGTCATGGAGAAGCTGGAGGTGAGTGAGTGCTGGCATGGGCCAAGAAGGGCAGGGGTGGGGCAGGTCACTGCCGAGATGTGACCCCATTATTTTGGCTCCAGAGCGGCCTTATGGACCTCCTGGAGGAGCAGACAGACCTGAGAGAGCGTGTGGAGAAACTAGAAGTTCAGTTCATCCAGTACTGGAGGGAGAGATGCCATCAGTGAGTGGGAGGTCAGGGCATGGCAGGGGGAGCTGCAGGGCCCTCAGAGGGGCCCCAGCGTCTGAGTCCTGTCCTCCTGCAGGAAAATTCGTCACCTTATAAATGAGCCAGGAGGCAGTGTCAAAGATGCGGCACGGGGAGGACATCATCAGGCTGGCCCAGGACAGGGAGGAGATGAAGGTAGCGTGTGCAACATCTCTGCGGGGGTCGGGTGGGGTGGGCGTGAAGGGCGCCGGCAGCGGTGTGACGGCTGAGCACCCCTCCCTCCAGGTGAAGGTGCTGGCGCTGCAGGAGATGGTGTTGCGGCTGATGCTGACCAGAACAACGAGCACAGCAAACTCCTGACCTCTTCCCAGAACCCTGTTGAGGAGCCCGGTCCAGGAGCCCCAGCCCCCCAGGAGACTGGGGATGCCCACAAGCATGGTGGTGAGTAGAGCCCTCAGGCGGGGCGGGCAGGCAGGAGCGGGGTGGGGGGGGACGGGCGGGGCTTGCACTGTGCTCAGATCCCCCATTCACTGTCTCCAAACTCCCAACTCCCTCTCTCCAAAGATCTTTGTGACATGAGCCTCACCGACAGCCAGGAGCCAGCTCACGAGGCCACGGAGGGGTCTCCCCACAACAACCCTGCTGCACAGACCATCGCGCAGGAGCACCAGGAGCACCCAGGCTTGGGCAGCAGCCGCTCTGTGCCGTTCTGTTGCTGGGCTTGGCTGCCGAGAAGGAGGAGATAAACATCACCGTCATCAAAGAGCTGCTCAAGACCTTTTTAAAAAAGAAAGTTACGGGGTTAATCTCCTACACAATTCATTTCCTTCATTTGAATGATTATTTGTGTTTCTAATTTATAGTTTATTTGTAAACAGTTAAAAAAGTGGGTCTCTGTGCCTTTCACTGAGGTTCACTCTGGCATCCTTTAGCATTTTTCTGTTTTAATTTCATAATTGTAGGTCATTAGCATGTATATTGAGTTTGCCGTTACGTGGTGGGAGTTCAAACACACAAAGACCCACTGTTTGCACAAAACTATTCTCGCTGGTTTGGAATAGGCTGCCTTGCTTTTTCAATGTTATTGCAGCATCTATGTTCATTACAGAATTCAGATAAAATTTGCTTATGTTCTGCTATTGTTTGATGTAATCTTAATCACAGTGAGCTCTTCATTAGCTCAATATGTGGTTTACCTCCAAGTGTCACTGTTGATTACTTTGTAATATGCCACCGTGAGTGTCTGGATGGAGGGAGGAGGGAAACAAAGAACAAAAGGGACTAAGATGGCGTATTTCCGGGTTCTTCATCACCAACTTTCCTGCGCCCGGGGAAGACACAGGTCAACTGCGCAGGTGCAACCTGATGTCCGACCAAGGAAACCGAAACCTACCTGGCCGCGCCTACCACAGGGCCCGACCCGCCCATGTCCGGCCTACTGCCCGCCCACTGCCAGGCCCAAGACATAAAGCCGCTCCGGGCAGACAGGCAGCGCGAACTTCCTCCTCGCCTCCTCATATGCGGACTCAGGAACTTCTCCCCAGAAAGCCGGAGCGACTTCCTTGGCCTCCACTGCGGAGACCTGTGAACTTCGCCCTTTCTTCTTTCATGTTGGCTAGCTAATAAAGTTTCTTTTTACTTTGCCTACTTGCCTTTTCTCTGGCGCCTGCTGTGGTGGTCGCACAAAACAAATCAGTGAGTATTGACATTAGAGTTGTTTAAAGTCTGAGAACTGGAAACAGCCTTTCCCCCATTTTCTGTGTACTGGTGATGGGAGTAATGTTTTGGGGGAGCTTTTTAAATCTCACAGAAGAGGACAGTGGCCTGCTCCGGCAGGAATGTGTGGGATACAGTGTGTTTCATTTGTTCCGGCGCCAAGAACGAGCGCTGTACTATGGCAGTTCCCTTAGGATTCGTGTGTGCTCTGGGCTCATGAAGATATTGCATCAGGAGCTGCAGCAGTTGTACTCTTCTGATGACCTAAAAAGGGATTATTTCTGAGGAATGAAAGGCTCCCATGATTGACTGTGGATGTGGAAAACCTTTCCTGGCTTAGAGAATTTGTATCTGTAATACATTTGAAAATCAGAGTTCATGTTACCTGTTTTAATCACATGACTACATGTCCCAGTACACAAAAGGGTGCTGGCTGGCATTCTTCTTAATGTATGTAGTAAAGATCATAAGAAATCCTTTACGAGTTTAAATGTCCCTGGAACAGGCATACAGGCTCTAGTCAAGAATGAATTAAAGGAAAGCTGTGTGACACCTGGCATTCCTCTGTTCACAGAGCTTCTTTGAGGCTTGAAGATTGATTTTACCATCTAGACCTCTCTGGCTAATACCTATTCTTCAAACACCTTGGTTACTCTGACATAGGAATTTACTTCTTTTCCTTGAATGGAAAACACTTTAAAAATTAATAACAAACATTATTATAAACTAATATATGTGAGAGTACTTAGTTGAAACAAAAAGGAGTTTTAGTAGACAGTATTATACTAGCTTTGAAAATCAAGGAGAAGTTTATGCAACTTAAAATGTTTACAAACTGCAGTGCAATCTACTGTTTGTGAATGTCAGTGTATTATCAGGAAACGTGTCTGTACAATCACAGGTATATTTCCTCACAAACTTCTTTACGAAGAGTGAAATATGTTTTTGTACCTCTCGGTTTCAGTTAGGGACATATTTTGTGCAATATTTATGTGATTGTGCCTATGCATGAGGAATGAATGAATTTCAATCACACATTCCCTAAATCATAGCTTGATGATGCTTGGGAAAGAATCAACAGTTAAAACTTCATGAGGTTCTAATGTCTGTGTTCAAAACACATCACAGTGTTAGGATGTGGGGAGATATGTACGTGTGCTCCCTGGGGTGGGGATTTCTAGTTACTAGACCATCTCCATTTTTAGCATTTGGCATCCTTATGATACTTTTATAAATATGATATTCTAACAGGAGAGCAACAATAGGATTTTACCGATGGAATAACAGATTTGCCTGCATTCACTGAAAGAGCGCAAATATTGGGTCCTTGTGACTTCAACTGACTCTTCCGAATTGTATGAATGTATCAATACATTAGATAAACCCAGGTGCAGAATGATAAAGAAAAAATGTTAGACCCAATAATGTGGCTAATTAACAGGGTCCGCTTTCTGGCCCATGGGGTTAAAATGGACTCACAGTCCTGTTCCTGCCTTTTATTCTCTGAACTTGCCACTTTTGCATTCTGAGTTCAGTTTAAAGACAGTTGCTAGCATCTGTGACCAATCTGACAATACTGTGTTCCTCAGCTGCCTATGGATTAATCACACACTGGCATATTTAAGCTGAATGTCAGTCTGGAAAATAAATTTACTAGATTAACTGAAATTCCACTCTTTGTGTAGGTATTTGTCATATATTTAAGAAAAAGCTAAAAAGAATGGAAATTGTATGACAGTAACTTAAGTCTTCAAAGTGCACGCAGTCTTTTGCGATACCTCATTCAGCCAAGTATTTGTGCTCTTCCTCATTCAGTATAGGGCAGCTTTCTTTTTTTTTTTTTGAGACGGAGTCTCGCTCTGTTGCCCAGGCTGGAGTGCAGTGGCCGGATCTCAGCTCACTGCAAGCTCCGCCTCCCGGGTTCACACCATTCTCCTGCCTCAGCCTCCCGACTTGCTGGGACTACAGGCGCCTGCCACCTTGCCCGGCTAGTTTTTTGTATTTTTTAGTAGAGGTGGGGTTTCACCGTGTTAGCCAGGATGGTCTCGATCTCCTGACCTCGTGATCCGCCCGTCTCGGCCTCCCAAAGTGCTGGGATTACAGGCTTGAGCCACTGCGCCCGGCCTAGGGCAGCTTTCAATTTGCTTAGAGGGCAACATTGGAAGGTTACAGTTCATCAGAAACATAGAATTTTAAAATGTGAGTTCAACTGAATAAATCTGAATTTCTGTAGGAAGAATCAAAACACCTATTTAAAGATTGCAATATATAATAATCATTTTAAAGTATTTGATTAAACCTGATAGGTTTTCCAGAAATGAAAAAAAAAAATCAGCTCTAAAACCAAAGCTGATTTTTAGAAAATTTGAAAACATAAACCAGCCCTACCTATAATATAATTTCTCTAAAACTTTATCTTAGTCATTTAAAAATAATATAACTATTAAAAAATATAACTGCTATCTTAATGTTCTGAAATAAGTTAAAACATTTTAAAATATGAATACTGTAGTTTAAAAGAAACAGTGGCAAGGAAAAGTAGAAAAAGAAATGCCAATTCCAGTCCAAAGCTTTATTTACCAAGTTTTCTTAGAATGAATTTTACCAATTTATGAATTCTTGTAAACAGAATGTATAATGGAAATACTGAAAGACTTTTGCCTAAAGTGGCATTATGGACTGCTGGTGTGATGCTACTGTAATGTAATAAATTCTTAAATTGTTGCAAAGTGCTGTTTTTGCCTTAAAATTTTGTGTGTCTTGAAAACTGTAGTATTAAAGGTATTGATAGTGTGCAAATGCTGGGCATGCTTGACATGAGATAATCGGTTTCATTTTTACAAAACTGCAATATAACTATGCAAGTGTTTATTAAAAGAACAAAATAAGAAAGTTACAGGATTAAAAGAAATTATGGGGTGAAAGTTATGGGATTAAAAAATGTAAAAAAGTTGTGACAAAAAAAACTTCTGGCAAAAAAGTAGAAAAAAGTTTTATGAAAAATTACCAAAACAAGTTATGAAAAAGAAGTAACAGGATTTTTTATAAAAGTCATGGGATAAAAATAAAAATGAAAAGCAGGTTCCTGTCAGCAAAGCCTGGAGAAGCGGGGCTGGAGTCTCCACGGCCACCGTGTCTCTACCACCCCTTCCCAGTCACCCCTTTACAATTAGGGTAGCAAGACAAGACCTCTGTCAATGGGGAAAGACAAACAGACCCTTTGCCACCTTGACCAGGGCTGAGTCCTTAAATTTTCGGATGACGATGATTGTTATTTAAGAGCCAGAGGCTGGTGGGGTTGGTTTGTTTGGAGGAGGCCTGATGGCCTCCTTTCTCTCACCATAGCAACTTTTCCCTCAGCAGGGCTCCCAGCTTCTTATTCAGAGAGGTAGCTGAGGCAGGACAGTGGGGCTAACTGTGGACCAGGCGAGGGCACGGGCTGCGGGCGTGGCCCCCTTCCCTGGTGTACATACTGTGTCTGTGTAACATTTTGTAGATCCCAGAGGGTAGGGCCGCCCCTGTATCGGACCTAGCGGAGGTTGGAGCTGGCACATGGGGAGGAGGTTCTAATAATTATTTGTGGCTGGGAAACTTATTTATTGCTAGCATAGGACAGAGGAAGGAGGCGTGGATGGGGTTGTGACTCCCTGGTGGTGTGATCGCAGCTCACTGCAACTTCCACCTCTCATGCTCAAGTGATCCTCCCACCTCAGCCTTCCAGGTAGCTGGGAGTATAAGCATGCACTACTATGCCTGGCTAGTTTTTTAAATTTTTTTGTAGAGAAAAGGTCTTGCTATGTTGCTCATGCTGGTCTTGAACTCCTGGCCTGAAGCGATTCTCCCATCTTGACCTCCCAAAGCACTGGGATTACAGGCATGAGACATTGCTCTGGTCCATAAGGTTTTCTCTTTATTTCTGTTTTGTTGTTTTGTTGTTGTTGTTGTTGAGAGAGTCTTGGTCTTGTTCCCAGACTGGAGTGCAGTGGTGCAATCTCAGCTCACTGCAACCTCCGCCTCCTGGTTCCAGCAATTCTCATGCCTGTAGCCTCCCGGGTTACAGGTATGAGCCACTGCACCTGGCTAATTTTTGAATATTTAGTAGAGACAGAGTTTTGCCATGTTGGCCAGATTGGTCTCCAACTCCTGGCCTCAAGCAATGCGCCCTCCTCAGCCTCCCAAAGTGCTGGGATTACATGTGTGAGCCACTGCTCCCGGCTAAGAACCCATCTCTGTTTAAATAAAAGAAGAAAATTCAGAATATGTGGAATACACAACACCACAGGCCAAAGTTATGTACCTCTCTGAGGTAATCTGTGTAAACAATTTGATATCTATCCTTTCAAGTTCCTACTTGCTACGCATATGTATACACATGTACACAAGTATACGTTGACACATTCCCCCTTCCCTGCTGTCGTGCTATTAGTCTTTGTTTTGTAGAAAGTGGACCAACTCTATGTTCTTTGCTGGCCTGTATTTCTCCTATTCAGTGATGTGTTACGAATATGTGTTTAAGTCAATTTATGCAACTCTTTAATACCATTTTAAAAGGTTATGATATACGATCATATGAAGGTATTACAATTTATTCCAACAGTTAACTTTTGCACGTTTAATAATTTCCATTGATTCGCCAGGGTGAACATTCTCATGTCACGGCTAAATCCTTTTGTATGGACATCCTTAATTATTCTCTTAAGTTAAACGTTTAAATAAACTTGCTAGATTAGTCTCATTTCTTAAAAAGTTCTTAATTCGTAGTTTGTATGTAACATTGTAGTTTTATATGTACTTGCAAATAGCTATAGTTCCTGTAAAAAAAAAAAGTGATAAAATTAAACTTTAACATATGCCAAAAATATTTTGACTTAGCGCTTCATTAAGTGCATGATTACAGTCTCTATATCTTTTGATTTACCTTTCTATC